ATGCTTAGAGTTACACCATTCTCTTATGGTTGTATATGTTTGGATGCGGTAACTTGTGGTCATGTTTTATATGATTTTTATGCCATGTACATGCTGAAAATTTGACTATTGTCCACTTGTATGAATGAATTGAATTATTATATGTTTTCTATGTTATAGGGCCATTGTTGTGATATTATGTACATGCTAAAATGTTTAGCATCTATATTAATGATATATTGTGTGCTTTAAAAACAGAATTTGAGTTCCTTAAATTGTTGAATGTGTTGATGTGTATAAAACTAAAAGTTTAGTAATTTTAGTGATTGTGTTGTTGTATCTTATAAGCTGAAAATTCTATATTAAACTTACCTCATATGTGGGACTGTTTTGTTGTAAGTGTTGTTGCTGTTGTTGTTGCTCAAAATCTGAAAATTTTAACTCCTATGATGGTGTGTATTATGTACTTAGAAACTGAATTTGTGATCTTCTAAATGTTGATGGTGTTTATGTGCACAAAAACTGAAAGTTTAGTAAATATATAAGCCTTTCTTGCAAGCATGTCTTATGTATGTCAAAGCTAAAATTTTAATTTATATATTCACGAGGTATGGTGTAGCTTCCAAACTGAATTTGAGCTTTTCAAATTGTTGATTATGTTATGTGCATAAAACTGATATTTAGTACTTACAATGGTTAGGTCATTGTGGTTTACAAACTGAAATTTATTTGCTTAATGTACCACAATTATGGGGCTATTTGTTATAAGCTTGTTGTTGTTGATATTGTTGGTTCAAAAACTGAAATGGTGCCTTGACTTTAAAGCATGAATGATTATGTTATTGTGGTTTCAAATTTGCCATATTATTTGCCATTAAGTGTGGTTTATAGTACTGAAAGTTAATGTGGAGATGTTATGACATTATGAGATTCTAAAGAGTGTCATTCATGCATTACATTGGGTACTACATGGGGCAAAACATATTTTTGAAAAAGAGGGGACTGTATTTTCGAAATGAAAGAAAAAACTGAAATTTTTGGGGATTGCATTTGCGAAATTGCATAATGCGATGGTTATTACTTCCCAAACAAGTCTCTTGTTGCTATTTATTGTTTGGATTCACGAAAGCATTACAGAGTATGTTTTAGGCATCTCCTATTGAGCCGTTGTGCTGACTCCTTATTATTTTTCAGATCACGGAAAGGAAGTTGTGGAAGACATCTCTCCACAAACATGAATGGAATTAAAGTTATGAGTTATGACATTTTTCTTTGTATAAGTGTACATGCTGTAAAGTATTGATTATGAAATGTAGAAATTGTACTAGTTTTGGCCTTGTAAATGTATCAATATTTTCTTTTGAAGATTGTAATCATGGACTCTAGAAATTCAAAGTCTTGGATGTATAAATGGGGCAATGAATGCATGATAATGCAAGTCCTCTTTGAATCTTTAAGTATTTGATTTTCATGTATAATATTGGTATGTGGTTTAGACCTTAAAGTACATATTTGGGGTAGGTTTAGAGGGTTTTAGATGACTATATAACCAAAAGGGCACCTTAAAACCAAGCCAAGGCTAAAATATGGCTTTGTGCTCCGGCGCAAGGCCTAAAATAGTGAAATTCCGAGAGCATTTTTCTACATCTTGACTCGAACTTCAAAAGACCATAGCTCCCTCATTTTAAACCCAAATTGGGTTGTTCTTGAGTCTAAACTGACCAGCTCGAAGTTAGTTTTTTAATGGTAATAATCCTAGCCATATATTCCATTTGTGGAGAGAGTTATGGCCTTTTTAGTGCAGACTATTCCGAAAATCTTTGAAACTAAAAGGTGCAATTATGTAAAACCATCATTCTTATGTCTAGAACCTTGCGGCATGGGTCCATATGACCAATTAAACTTATGCTAACCTTGTATGACTAATTTAGAGTCATCTCATTCACTTTCATACCTTGAGTTTGTTGGGAAATGTACACGTTTTAAAAACTTTTTGAGGGATTTTCATACATAAATCTTGATTCATCACACAGAGACAAGTTTTATGGAAAAAAATAAAATAAAAGATGATATATCATTCAATTAATAGATTGAATATTTATAGCAAAGGTTTGAGTAAATCTTTAAATTTTTCCTCTAAAGTGAATGTTCTCACTTCCCTTAGCAAGATCCTTTCTCATTCTTCTTGATAGTGATCATCCCTTTAGGAATCACCCATATACCCTGATGAATGACCTTGGAGGCAAGGCTTGTGGTAGCCTCTTTTAGAAGAGAAAGCAAACCCTAAAAATTAGAGAGAGAAAATATATTCCTTTGTCTTTCAAAAGTTACCCCTAAAATATACATGGAGCCATGTATATATAGGCAAAATAAAGATAAGGAACGAAAACAATATATCCCTCTCAATCTCTAATTCACATATCTCAATTCTAATAGGATTTCAATATCAACTTGGGTTATGGGTGATAATCCTTTGGGCTTACTATTTTCTTGACTATTATAAATTAATAATTGGTTTGGTCCATTAAACCATGGACTCAATGCAATTAATTCATAAATTAATTTCTACTCCACTAAAAGAAATTAATTACATTCTAATTAAATAGTAAATAACCTCTAAGTCAATGTTGCACTTTGACCACTCTATGCATAATTATTTATCGAATTATAAAGCCATCAATCCGACAAACTAATTAATATAATTATTTTGTTACCTTTGATTATTTCTGGCTTGATCACAATAAAACATTTGTTTGACAAAAATAATAATTTAAATAAATAAATATATAATAAATCATTTTGTCTAAAAACACACGAAGGCCTTTGAATTTAGTTTGTGATCAACTATAATCACTATAAAATAAATACAAGTAGTAATTATGTAAATATTAAAAATATAACCCTCTAACTATTAATTACATAATTATCCAAAGTTTCGGTATAAAGATTCCGAAGAATCCGTTAAACAAATCAAAGTAATTACTAATTAATAAAAGAGTCTATACTTCTCTCATACTTAAGAGTCAAATGCCCATGATAGTGATAATGAGTAATTGCATATGACGGCTCTCGCAATATATCTTAATCTAACGCGGATCCAATTCAAGTCCCAGTTAATAATGAGTCCATCCATAATTACCGACTATGAACTATTTATAATTATTATTTATATTCATGTATTGATCGCCATCACATATATATAAAAATATCTCTTGTAAGCAAGTGGACACTATCAATTCCATAATGAATCGAAACATTATACATTGAATTCACCAATTGTATAAAGCATATATATTTCAGATATGTTAAAAACATATGTCACTTTAATTCAGATAGGAATTTGCTATGTCAGGGCATATAAATCCCAATAGAGTTAACCATTTTACCATTGGGTGTTCTCGGGTTCGGGTAAGTACTCGGTTAGCATTTTCGACCCCGGATTTGGGGCGTTAAGTAATGATTGACCCTTAAATATCTATTTGTTTTGTCTAAAATTGCATACTAACCTTACAAGTTTAAAATTACTATGTACTGATCACATAAGTGAGTAAAAGTTGTTAAATAACTTCACATATTTATAATTTAACCCAATTTTCTTTCAAATATTATCCTTTAGACCCCCGAAAATAAGACACGCGTGTCGGACATACACCCCTGGCGTGTCGGACGCGTGTTCGTGGAGTGTCCGTACCGTGTCTGAAGATTAAAAAAAATAAAAAAATTTTGACACATTTTTTGGTGTGTTCGACACGTGTTGGGGCGTGTCCGATGCGTGGCCGTGTACGATGCGCGTCAGTCACGAATTCTTTGCCCATTTTGACATGTCCGAGCTTCCTAGTTAAAATAATACACTTGCAAACACATGCATATGATTAACAACACACTTGTATTAGAAGATGTCCTTAATTAATCCCAAAACAGCAAACTCATGCATATGATTAACAACACACTTGTATTAGTCAAATGCCAAAAGTGTGAAACAAAAACAGTATAATATATGTAATTTGAAAGGAAAAAAAAAAAACCTTATTTTTTTAAGCTTCAATGAACAATGACATATAGAACATGACTTCAAATAAACCCAAAACAACAAGTGAAATGCATGTAATGAGATTGATTATCCACCATGAGAAGAGTTTTTGTACTGATTCTTCTTAAAAAAAATTAAATAATAATATTCAACTCATTTCAGTTCAAACAAGTACCTCAAATTGAACCATAGAGGGCCCAACACAACACTGTTGTGGTGAATCTTTAAAATAACTCAAAAAAATCTTAAGCTTGTTTGGATTGACTTTTCAAACGCTGTTTTTGGCTTTTTGAGTCTGGAAACTATTTTAAACGAACTCCAAAATCGAACAATATTTACAGACCAACACTGGATTTCCAACCAAAAAACTTCAAAATAAAATAAAAAACAGTCCCAAACATGGTATGGATCAAAAAAATACCACCTGCAACAAAACAAACCAAGACACTCTATGTACCAAACAGGCCGAAGATATCAATTCTATGCACAACCTGCTATATCTTCTTACAAGTGAATTTGACAATTGGACGCTTCTAAGTTTGGAGTTGGGTAAATTAAAAAAAAGTTTGGAGTTGGGTAAATTAGAAAAAAAAAAAAAAAAAAAAAAAAAAATCCCATGTAACAAAATCACATATTAATCAAATTTTATTATGAAACATACCTTCGTATAATCTATATCTCATTGTATTTGAAATTAAAATTAAAGTAATTCCAAATTCAAAACACTAATCTCATCAAGTGGAACATAATTTCGTATGTAGTTTCCGTATTTTAACAAAAATTACATTTAACTTATTGAATCAATGCGATCATTTTACTTCATTTCATTTTGCAAATCTCAAATTAGATTCTCACGTCTGTATTTATTTATTTTGAGGAGATTTTCAACGTCCATTATCTTCTTTTCGTGACGTGGCCACAGTGCATTGGCTTTCTTGTTTTGGATATGTGGCAACATTTCCACATATGCAGACCCTTTTCTCCATTAGAAGCAATACGTACAAAAATTTAATAAAAGCTTTACACGAAAGCATTTTATACAGTTGACACCAAACCCTAACCTGTAACAAACCAAGACCTGAAATCCCCCAAAACCCTAATTTCAATCAGAACAACCATCTCTCTCTCTTTCTCTCTCTAAAGATGCTCCGATAGTCTCCACATTGCCTCTCCATTTCCCCGTTGTCTCGTTATATATACACACACACACAATTAGATATATAAACATTTTCTCTCTCTAGAACTATGTCTCTCGATGGCGCTGTGGATCGGAGAAAGGAGAATCACACAGCAGCAGGTACTGGCAACGGGAACGGCGTCGTTGTGGCGAGCTTGCCGTCGTACTCGACGCATCGTCTTCGGTTGAATCCGAACACAGATCACAAGCCGGACAGCTACGAGGACCTTCAATTGGACTTCACTCCTCTGCTCTTCAGCTCTCTGGAGAGGTACCTACCTCCGAGCTTGTTGAATGTGTCGCGCGACGCTAAGGTTCAGTACATGAGGGAAATTCTGGTCCGCTATTCATCTGAAGGCGAGCGTACTCGAGTGAGTATATATCAGGAAATATATATGTGTGTATTCAATAAATATGTGTTTGTGTTCTTATTATGGTTTTGAGTTTAGGTTTGTTTGGCATATGAGAAAGTTGTGGAAAGGGAAAGAAATAGAAAATTTCAGCTTCATGTTTCTTTTTGTTTGGATTTGCAGAAATGATAAAAAATAGCAGGGTAGTGCTGGATGAAAACATGTGGAAAACTTTAATTTCTTAGCAACCAAAGAGTAGATATTGATATTTTACTTTATTTTTTGTTGTCACGGTCTAAATATTGATTTGTTTGATGTCCAATAAATTTAAATTGGACAAAAATGAAAGATCACAAGGAATATTTGACTCGAAATTCAATTATAAGATTATGGAATTATTTTCTTTTTATGGCATTCAAAAAATCTTAAGAGGATGATGCGTTCCTTTTGCATTACAGAAATGCATTTCTCGTGTCAGCTGAGTATGCACAACGTAAAGGTTGTTATATGTAATTTCAGAATTTGGTGCTTTCAAATAATTATGAATGTAGTTTTCCTGTAGCTCCTAGTATTACTCTGTGAGAGAATGAAAAGTTGGGGGCCTGAGATCTGCATTTTAGCTAGCAAACAAAAGTGAACTATACATCTTAGATAAACTTCTTTTCTAGGTTTATGTTAGAATATATACATTTTGCTTCCTGATCTTATAGGGTGAGATGGCAATGATTGCTTTCCTTTTCTCAACTCTGTATTGTTTACTGGGAGTGTGAATGTTTTATCTATAGCATGTATGCTCATATATTTTTACACACACACACACATCTGGATATACTTATTTATTTATTTTTACAAGCAAGCAAGGAGATATTATTGATCAAACAGTCAATACTATCCTTTCCACTTCTATTCTTTACTCCTTATTAATGCCCAGATATCTTAGTTATTCTGATTCTATGTTCTCAAAATCATATCATAGGATATGGAAATAATAAAAAATGTGTAGGCTGTAGCTCATTTGCATATTTTGTCTTTAAGATAGTACATTGCCGGAGAAATTCCCTTGTTGAGTATAGCTACTAACTCGACAGGCTCATAGAAGTTATGTTTATGTAGAAAATTACTTTTGTGCGGGGACGATCAACAATATTGCTGTTCAATGTGTGAAAGACTGATGTTGGCAATGAACTTATGGCTGGGATGATGTTTTGGCTGCAAATATAGCCGGTGCACTAGGTTCCTAGGTCTGTTGCATCAAGATCGGGAAAAGAAAGAATAACAAAGTTGTCCTACAGTCGGCTTAGATCTTGATTCCCCCTTCTCTCCCTTCTCACCTGAGTGAGGCTCTTTTCATAATACAGTTAGGATGTCTTATTTCTGCTCTGTCATGGTTAGTGCTGTAACCATTAATCTTCTTAAGCATGTGAATGCCTTGAGATGTACTCCACATTTGATCAATTACCTACCGAATTGGTAAAAAAATTCTCAATCCTCTCATCTGCTTCCTAAAAATTTCTTCAAAATGTAGTCTATTATAGTGTATCATTGTGACTTTGTTCATACTCAGTGCATAGCTTTTCCTGGGTGTATTGTTGATATTTCGCATGTTGTGTTTCATCATTTAAATATCATAATATAGCCACATTACAAATGTTAATTACTTATGTTATAGCTTGTTATATCTTAGAACCTGGAGAAACAAAAATTACAGAGTCGATTTAGTGCACCTTTATTTAGATTATCATCTCATGGCCTCCCACGGAAGAGAAGGAAATAGATAGGTCTTGTGATCAAAATATCACATTTGTAGCTTATACAAGGTTGAATGTACTTTTATTATATATGTCTTTGACTTGTAAGCCTTTTTTTACCCGCTTGATTTACTGCAATTTGAATTAGATTGTTGTGTTTTGGCCTCAGTAAAAGAAAGGCAAACAGACAGGTCTTCCTTGGTAGAATTCTGTAGTAAATTATCACTGTATCACCAATACATGTTGATGTTGGTTCCTTGCCTTTCCTTTTCAAATGCAGAGTGACAAGTGACTTTTTACAATTTCATAATTAACCTCTCTCTTTCTCTCTCTCTCCCTCTCCCTCTCCCTCTCTCTCTCTCTCTCTCTCACACACACACACACACACACACACACAACTCAGCACGCACACACACTCAACACACACACATATTGTGGTTTCCCTTCCCTTCCCCTGTCGCATGCAAAAATAACTTCCTAGGTGCTATCTCACATGTTAGTGACCCTGATCCATGTACATCTGTCCACCTTATGTGACTCATGGCCATTAAATTATCCTGGCCATACCTTTCCTTTGTATTGTTTCACTGTACTTTTTCTTACAGTTAGATTATTCATTTTCTATTATCTCTATCATAATTGTTTTCTACTATATTCCTCTTGCCAGACAATTTTTTGTGAGTTTTATACTACTTTTACCAGGTCCAGAGGCATAGAGAATACAGGCAGAAGATTATTTCAAACTATCAGGTACATCTCGTGGTGAATCTTTTTATTTATTGGTTTTTATAAAAGAATTCAGAATTATGACATGTGAACGTTCTGTTACTTACTTATCTATAGGAATTTTGATGATTGTCATCCCAGATATGTTTATTGATTTTCATACATCGATTGCCCTTGATACCTAAGCGACTATTTTCTATATTTGGCTGCAATATCAATAAAAAGATGCCACAATAGATATTCAATTTTTTTTTTCTCCTATCTTTGAAGAAGTTAGGAATTATGCAAAAGTATGAATTAGTTTGTGTCTAAACAGGGTGTAAATATTAAACATTCTACGTTAGAATTTCAAGACAAATAAAGAAAAGTATTGGTAAAAAATCTCTTCACACACCCATCCAACAAATCAAAATATTTGTCTTTTGTTAATAGGAGAAATTTATTGAATGTAAATCTTGAATTTTAATTATTGAGCTTTTCGACAGTAGATTCTTGTTTTTATGTCTTATGGATATCCATGTGTGCATTGCGAGGAAGAGACTTGGTATGCATGTCAGAAATTTAGATGTGATAAAGTAAGATTAGGTTTCAATCTCATAGAATCAATTTTCTTATCCTATTCTGCCGATAACATATATTGTCACACCCCGAATCTTAAGACCAGGCACATGAGTGAAAATGAAAGGTAAATCGGACCCAACACCCGAGTCCCGAAATGCGAAACCCTTCAACCCATAAGGTTGACAAAATGCCCAACCTCTCATAAGGTAATGAACCCCAAATCCCGTTCATTGAATGACCCTACCTCTCCACCATAGCACAAATGAAGGAAGAAATTCCATGAAAATGTCACTTTAATCACATCTTGAAATGAAATGAAGAAGAAATGGTAAGTGTGGAAAATAAGGTTTTTTGACCTCAATGTAACTTAAATAAAGTCATTTTCATGCCTCAAAATCTCATTGGAATGTTTTATGATCATTCGAAAAGAATCGGATTAAAAGGAGCCATTTTAATTCATAAAATAACATTTACAAACCAAGAAATGATTCAAGTAAAAAGGAAAGGAAGATAGTGCAATTCTTGTCACCAAACCACCCCTAACTATGCCTCATACCATTCTCAAAATATTCATTTTAAAGTCCTTAAGAGGCCTCCCAAACAGTCCCTTAACATCACCCCAAATAGCTCCTCACTTGCCAAACAAAATAAAAAAAAATTGAACTGAAGCCTGCCCAGTTGGGCATTTGATTGTTGGACTCATGTGGGTACCCTCCATTGCTGATCATTGACTAGTTCAGGTTTTTTTGAGACCCCCCTTTGATGTTGAGACCCCCCTTTGATGTTGTGGATGCGGTAACCACGTTGTTGGCCTTCTTTCATGTTTTGCTTCCATGTGAGGGACTTGGTTAGAGTCCGGTTCACCTTTCCTTATCATGAACCGGGTTCTTGGGATTCGGCGCGTGACATATAAACATTGTAGTTTTTTGTTGCTTTATTTGTTATTTCTTCTTAATTTTTTTCCTTCTCTTTTTCAGCCTATGCATAGAGAGCTATATACTATGCACGCAACAAACTTCTTTGTCCCCTCTTTTCTCATGGCAATCAAGGATAATACGGAGGAAAGTTTTAGAAATATGATGTCTGAACCCTCCCCTGGGGTTTTTACATTTGAAATGCTGCAACCACGCTTCTGTGAATTGTTGCTGTCTGAGGTATCATCTACCTTTGTCCTTCATATGGCATGCCAAGTTCATTTATCTTGCAGTTTAGTATTTATGTTTTCTTATCAGGTTCTGATTGCTTAGGTAGAAAATTTCGAAAAATGGGTTCGTGAAACAAAATTCAGAATCATGCGCCCAAACACAATGAATAAATATGGTGCTGTTCTTGATGACTTTGGCATGGAAACCATGCTTGAAAAGTTGATGGAAGACTTCATACGTCCTATATCACGAGGTAATGTATTTCTATTCAAAATTAGAATGAGAAAAACCCCACAGGGTTGTGTGAGAATGAAGAAGGAAAAAAAAACTAAATAAAAAGAGCTATGTGATAAAGATCAGGATGATGGTGATGAAATCAAAGAGCTGAATAATGCACTACATGTTCTCCTAATCTTCTAATTCTTCTGCTTCTTCTTCTATTCTGATTTAAGATCATGTGCAGTTTTCTTTTCTGAAGTTGGTGGCTCCACGTTGGATTCTCATCATGGTTTTATAGTTGAATATGGAATGGATAGAGATGTTGACCTCGGTGGGTGATCACTCCAAGCTTTCTTCCTCTCTTCCACCTTAAAGCACTTTTTTTTTTTCATTTGGTATTAGCTCCTAATATGAATAATGTTGTTCTTGCTATTCCATCTGTTCTACTTTTGGAGTAAGAGCATGATTAGAACATATATAAAGGTAAATCTAAACTGAATGAGATTGAGGAGCCTGGCTCCGAACAACGAGCCATGTTCTGAGATAACTTAAGCTGTTCATCGCCCCGTTCCCAGTTGCATTATAGGGGCTGGTTGGCTATCGTCCCAGCTTTGACCTACTCTTAGGTCTCTAGTGCCATATCCCTGCATACGAACAAAAGAGAACCTTACTCCGTGTGTGACTCCTAGGAAATAAAGAATAAAGTTAAGTTGCCATGGTTGGCAGTGGTAAAATGTTATTTTCTTTATCAAGAACTATGGTTTGAGTATTTCATTGTTATCTAGCTTTGGGACGACTGAGAGCATAACATTCCTTCCTAATGTTAACTCCTTAATATTCTCGATTATAATTTCTTCCTCTTTGTTTTTTTTTTTTTTTTTGTCCTCCTCCTTCTTCTGGTCAAAAGATTAAACTTCATTACAACTCATTAGGATAGGGAATAATATAGTTTGGGGAAATATACCTGCCTAGGATATATAATAAGGATGCAATATTCTTTTTTCTTCAGTCATTATAATTATTTCTGTTATTAACTTATTATCATTGCAATTATTATTAGGGTGGTGATATTGGCACTTTACTTTTCTTCACCTGCCTTTTTTTTTTTTTTTAATTTATATATATTTAATATAAAACAAATGATTATATTACCTTTCCAATTACATTCCTGCTCCACAATTATTAAAAAAGAAAAGAAAAGAAAAGAAAAAAAGATTACAATTGCACTCCAGTTTTGAGGGGTAATTTTGTCATTTCAATTATTAAAAAATTCAAGTCGAGTGCAAGTGATGAAAAGTGGAGTGAATATTTTCTCCATTATTATTACCACTACTGCTATTTTTTTTAAATATGTTTGTGTCCAGTTCCTTGAAACTTTTGGCATGGATATCATGGCATTATCTTTGGCTATGGATCTGAACTGCTTAACAATTGTAGGTTTTCATGTGGATGACTCAGAAGTCACTTTGAATGTTTGCTTGGGGAAGCAATTTTCTGGTGGAGAATTGTTCTTCCGAGGTGTGAGGTGTGATAAGCATGTAAATACAGAAACTCAGCCAGAGGTATGTTCATATTCAGGATTAGTTCTATTTGATTGCTGTTGATTAGTCATATTCACTTAAACTTTCTGTTTGGTCTTAGTTTTGTTAGGCTATTTAGTGGTCTTTTTTATTTCTTAGTGATGGTCTCAATGATGAACAATGGACGGTAGATTTTATATTTATACTTTGGTAATGATGGCGAACTACACTAAGGGAATTGTGGAATTATCAAGCTTGTGTCACTACTACGTTAAACAGTGAGATTATTGTTTTTTTTTTTTTTCTTTTTTCTTTTTCATAGTTTTATTTTGTTGTCAAGTAGGATACATATATAGACTGGATTTTGATTAGGTTGTTGAAATATAAATGACATGGCTAATAGCTCTCTCATATCACTCTTTTTGAAGTACACACAGATCATTTTATACGTAATAAAAATTCTTGTTATTTAATTATCTTTTATTGGTTGGCGACTCTTTCATTTATGATAAAATAGCAAAAAATACTGTGAAGAAAATTTGTTTGATCTTTTGGATTTGTAGTTTAGCAAAACACAAATCAGGAATTACAATATAAGTAATGGATGATGCTTTGTTTTGCTACTGTTGGTAAATTAGTAGATTATAGAACTTCAAATTTCATTCCTGCTGTAATGGGGTGAACCATCATTTTAAGTTTTTTATTTATTTATTTTTGTTCAAATTCTCCAGGCTGACGGGGCTTGTTTTCCAATTTTTTGACTGATCCTACACCTTCCAGTCTTTATTACTCTATTTTTATCTTCCATTTCAATTAGAGTCCTTAATGTTGGGAAGGTTGGCAGATCTCCTCCTTGTTGAGGTTTATCTTTACTGATTATTTTGGATCGGAGATGTTGGTGTTTGAAATCTAATGGTTTCAATATATATATATATATATTTTAAAATTGTTTCTGAAGAGCAAACTTCATCTCTTTCTGTGGCTAAAAAGATTTGGAAAAGCAAAGCTCTCCCTAATAGCCTTAACAGAGATCTATTGGGTCAATCCCCTCCTCTCCTCCCCCTCCTCCTATATTTCTGTCTTCAACAAGCACTAATAGCCTTAACAGAGATCTATTGGGTCAATCCTAGAGAAATTAGATAGCTGCTTGAGAGTTGAGACTTCTTTTAGGATTTGGTTTTATTAAGTGCGGTTTTCTTTAGGGTTGAGCATTGGCTGCCACTAATTGGGCTACTTTATATCCAGATTTTCAGGGTGTGTTTTCTGTTGAAGCCGAGCTATGGGATAAGATCCTTTCTGTTAGAGAGTTGTATTTTATGCACTTTTCTATATTTGTTAGGGGGTAACTTTGTCTTTTCCTATTTTAGTTAGGCTTTATATTATATCTCATCTTTTTTAATTCGATATTACTGTAATGCGATATATGAAGACAATTCCCTTTTTTCCTCTACAGGTATGCAATAAACTTACACTCTCTTATCTTCAATATGGGTTTCCTCCTCCAATGCTTGTATCGATGCCTATGAGTGTTGTTTTTGATGACTAGAAGGAGGCTGTGTCCTCTTATTCCTAGAGCAATATATAGCCTCCTATGTTGTTGAAGCCCCTTTCAGTTGATGACAGAATTGGATATGGTTTTGATGGTTGCACTTATGGGAATCTGAGCCAAATCGCTATACAGAGGTGTTTTCAAAAGCGATATAGAAGCTCTACTCTTTCCTTTTGTAGACCAGTTGGATCTGTTTTTGTTTTTAAAGAAGAGGTTATATCTCTCCTGAAAGGCCTCAGGAAAGCTTCTTTTTGGGTGTCTCACATTGCCTAATGGAGGAAGAAACTGAGGTGGTGGTTGATTAGATTCAATCTCGATCTCAGTTTAGTTTGCCTCCTAAATGGATATTTCATGAAAGATGCTTGATATTTCCCGCAACTCTTCAGGCAGTGAGCATATGGGTTCCAAGAAGGGAGCTTCCAGGACGAGGCCACATTTCTGGCCTCTTTTGAGTTTGCTTTAGGAACTCATGTTTTGAGGTGTTGGGTGGGGTTTGTAGGGATTGGTGGGACTTTAAATTTTTTTGAGTCACTCTTTTGATATTCCTATTCTCCTTTCAACTGTGAAGGATTCTTACCCTTCAAGCCTCTGCATCTTTATTTATCCTTAATCAATTTTCTTGTTTCTTATGACAAAAAGAATATCCAGAAAGAGTTTTGAGTCTTGATAGGACTAGATTAAACAAACATTGATTTAAAAGTAAAAAGAAACTTATTTTAGAGATTTGATATGAAATAAGAATGAAGTGTGTATAATGTGATTTAGGCCTTAAAAAAGGAGTATCGCGTAACAAAGAGATCGCGTTGAACTGTTCCGACATAGATCTGTAATTATTGATTGTCTTTCCTAAATATTTTTTTTAATCTGTGTTTAATTCCAAGATAGGGCTCATTTTACTACTCATTTAATTTTCTAAGCATGAACTTGATGTTAAGAACATTTCGGATGGTTGACATGCAAAAACTTTGTTCCATTGTTTGAATTAATTTGGTAGAAATAAACATATCAGTTATTAATATCCAAAAGATCCTGCTCTAAGTTGAGTTACGTATCACCAAAGCCTTGGCAGGCTCCCACTGGTGATACCTTAGGACTGCTCTAAATTTGATATAATTGGTGGGTTGCACGGGCATCTAAAATGCCTTGTAAAAGTAAGTGGCCTGGTTACAACCGTTAATGACTTTTTTATTCAATCATTAAATGGAGTGCTCACTATATATCTTTTCTACTTGTAACTTCCACCAAATTTTTAGGCATAACTTGTATTGCTTTGCAATTTATTACAATTCAACTCAGTTGTTTCTGTTCATCTAGGCTTTTAGATTGATTATTGAAAAATATTCAATTATAGTTTGTGCTATACATGGAATTGGTCGGTGCAGTTCAAGATACATAAGCTCAACTTTATTGTAGAATTTTAGTATATTATGATCCCCTGCAGATTATCACAATAAGTGGCTGAAGACTCATTTGGAGTTTATTATGGTACATTCATAGGAAATATTGGATTATTCCCATGTTCCGGGAAATGCAATTCTTCATCGTGGTCGCCATCGGCATGGTGCTAGAGCCACAACATCTGGACACAGGATTAACTTACTGTTATGGTGCCGAAGGTATCTCTACGCTCAGCTTTACTCTTTCTATTTGTTGTTTCATGTAACTAAAACAACATTTTGTTCATCTAACAGAATACGTGTGTGTGTGTGTGTATATATATATATATATCCATACACATACTTATATATAAATATAAATGTAAAGAATTATACTAGTATTACTTTACTGACATCTCCAATGTCTTTGAAGTTACTACTCACTTCCTCTGAGCTTCAGATTCCTCCTATGTGAAACTTTTTCCAATTCCTGTGCTATTACTTTTAATGTTGATAATATAATGATAATTGTGTCTAATTTGTAATTTGGCCTTAAATTGAATCTATTCTCTGAAGGTTGGTCAATGATACATCAGAGATTCAGATGGCGGTTTATAATGTTTACATCAGTGTATATTTTTATGTATTTATATTGAAGTGCCTACTGATATGGAGGATAATGTTTGATGGCATTCTAGATATTTTGTGAAACTTTATACATCTTCTTCATCGTCTTTCTCTCATTTAGTCTCACTTATGGTTGAATTTTATCATGCCTTTTGGAGGATATCAAGGACTGAAGGAGAAAGTAGTCAGAAAATGAAACCTTATCAAGTTGTGAAGAATTAAAAACAAGGAATACCTTCATAAACTTGGGCAAATGTGGCTCAACCGAAGTGGTTAGATGAGTCTTTTGATATCTTCAGTGTTTATATATTTCCAGAGATTTTCTTTCTTTTATACCAAATTAATGAGTTTGATGGAGGCCAAATCATGCTTAGGGTAGGTATCTCTTGGATGCGCCCAACTGAAATTAAACTTCCAAAACTGACCATGCCACTTTTCATTGAATAAAGTTTTCAGTATCCTCCCTCCCCCCCCCACAAAGGGAAGATTTGTCATCAAGAAAGAGTTAAATTGTGTGTGGGGTTTTTTTTTTTTTTGTTGGGGGTGGGGGGATATAAATTAAAAGGGTCATTATCTAGTCGTGTCCTGAATAATCAAGGGTTTAGAATAGGTGTACTAGATGCAAACCTAACCTTGATATTATTTGCACAATGTGACTGCTCTCAAGACCTGGAACCTGCGTTCTTACGCTTGACGACCATAGCTTTTTACAATGCAATAAACTATGACCCCTATACTAGTCAATGTAACATAAGTTTAGGGTTATACCATAACCAAACTTTGATCATTTTGTTTAAATGCTCCAGCTGCATTTTATATTCTATAGATGATTTTAATTTTGAAAAAGCTCTTGGGATTTATACATGTTAATATCCCAGGATTTTGAGAATCAGGGCTGTATTGATGCCATTGCCTGTGCTTAGGTACCGCCTATAATCAAAGAAAGAGAGCGGATTTTCATTCGATTATTAAATTACTAAATTTACCTTACCTGCAATCTTTTAAACACCATGAAAATACAACATTCTAGGTTAACTAAATATGGAGATGTGCTATACTCATATGAGATTTTCCTTCTATGTATCTCTATCAGTGGATCTGCAATACATACATACATACATATGTGTGTGTATATATGTGTATATATATATATATATATATATAGAGAGAGAGAGAGAGAGAGAGAGAGAGAGAGAGAGAGAGAATTGTGGTAACAGACAGGCAGACAAGAAGGAAGAGTGAGAATGGTGGTTTGTACTCCTGAAACCGTTGATCTTTGTTTTGCCTCAACTAGTAATTTATACTTGAACTAGCCATTTTATTTTTTTTGGTATCTTGTATTTATATAAATACGGTCAAAAGAGCATCTTTAGGTGGATGACTTTTAAGTGTGTTGCCTCGGTACCTATTGCAAGTCTATCCTTCTTTTATTATAAAGTTTGGATAAATCATTAATATGAAGTTGGGATATCTGCACGTGAAATATGAACTGGCAAGCTGGTGCCTGTGCTGCATTTCCAAACTTCATGATAGAATTTTATTATACCATTTGATCATGTAAGCTCGAAACTGGACCAAGAGAACAAGTAATTTGCAACAAAAATTTGGAGTCATGAAGCTTCCCAAGTTCATTATTTCTGAAAAGTGTTCTTAATATTGCAGCATATCGTTTTCTTGCATCTTTATGGTCTTGAATTTCCATAAGCATTTCTTATACATGTTTTTAAGGATTGTGTTGAACCTCTTTCAAATGACATTTACATGGTCTCTCTCTCTTCCTACAGTTCTGTCTTTAGAGAGCTAAAAAAGTACCAGAAAGATTTCTCCAGCTGGTGCGGAGAGTGTCAACGTGAGAAGAAAGAAAGGCAGCAGCAGTCTGTTGCCGCTATCAAACTGGTATTATACATGTAAAATTCAATAAGTAGAAGGTGAGTATGTTTGAAGATTTCACGAGACTTTTTGCTTTCGGTTTTTGGCTTGTCAGGAATTGCTGAAGTGGGAAGGAGAAGCTGCTTCTTGAGCTGTGTCACCCGCAGTTTTCGCTTTTTGAAATTGTAATATAGCACAACTCTCATCCTTAAATATCAAAGCATCATTTTGTTGGTGATGTATGAAGGATGAAGGGTGTTGTCTGTTTTTGTTGGTCCGCAAAATAGTGTACATTCAAATCATCTCATGGCCACCTTTGGTGATATAATCATTTTTTGTAGTTGTATGACGTCCTGTAAGTGAATATAGTAGTTTGTTTGCGAAGTAGATGACTTTGTTCCCTAGACGTTTGGTTCGGTTCGGTTATTCTGTATTTACAGCTGATGGAAACCATCCTTCCTTGTAATTGTTGTGCTTGGTGGTACAGAGAATCACAAGTGTGATTTTTAAACTCAACTTGTGTGATCTAATGCTGTTTTGAAGTTTCAATTTTTGCGAATTTTATCAGTATACAGATAGTATTGTTGCAGTGGGAGCAATAATTAAAATACGTACCGAATCGCCTTTTTTAAGTTGAGGAAAATAAAATATAGAGTTAATTTCACTGATACCTCTTTCAGGTTTGGCCAAATATTGTCCTTAAACATCTCTCGAAAATAATTACCACTTAGATTTATTTTTACTTTTTTGTCATAGTTTTTGTTTAAAAATATATAAAGACAGAATTTTGTCCTTAATTTTTTAATCTCATTTATCACCAAATATCAAATTATTTAATTGACTTTTACACCTCTCATCTCCACCTCCATAGCCACCATCACAATCTGATTGAATATATAATCATAGACTTCCTAATCACAAAATTTTTTATGTGATTCTGCATAAAAGTTACATCCACGATAATATGCAAGTGAGAGATTATTAGGGGCATGACATCAATTGGCGAGCTCAAGATCAATAATAAAAACGTCAAACTAAGCTCAAGCCTGAGGTCCAACCAACAAGCCCAAGAATCTGTACCACTTTAGATATTAGTAATTAATACATCCATGTAAATCCCTTTTTCAACTCATGCATTACAAAATGTAGAAGACTTGTCATGCCTAGTATCTTTTTTCTGTTCAAATTAAAAGAAATTAGAAAACTACAAACTGTAGATAAATAAATAATATTGAAGAGGCAATAATATTATCAAGTTCACCAAAAAATAAAATAAAAATTAATTTTGGTATCAAATCAAAAACATATTCACACACATCTTGATTGAACCCAAATTTTTATTTTTATTTTATTATTTTTTGTTTTTTACTGATTGAATCACCTAATTTCACAAAACAAAATCAGCATCTCCAGCGGCCGTGATGGCATCTTCCTGTTGTGGTGGTGGCGGGGGGAGAGAGAAACAATGGTGGTGGAGACAAAGAGGAGTATATATGTCCGTGTAATATATATATATATATATATATATATATGTTTGTGTATATGTATGTCTGGTATATATGTATAATCGGTAAATTTACAAAATTTTAGAAATATTTCAATCTTTTAATCCAATTGTTTAGGCTAAATAGTTGTTTTGACAAAGTTAAAGGGTATATAAGTCATTTTATATTGTGGGGTGCAAGTGAAAAAGGGTACAAACAGTGATTGATATATATCTATACAAAAATCCACATGTTCTATAATGGATAGGATCAATTTTGAATTGCCTTCCAGAGCAATTAATAGAGATCTAAAAGCCAAAATGAATCACTTATATTAAAGACATGTACCAACAAAAATAACTCCATCAAGAAAATTGACGTTGCAAAACTTCAAAAAAGAAAAAGAATTACTACCATAAAGATAAAATAAAAACCTATTATGGATAAAAGGTGTTGCAGTCATAAATCAAAATAAGCTTTCCGCATGCTTGATGAAGACGGACCGTGATGCCATATTTCCTTGTAATGCCATATTTCCTGGCAATTTTAGGTCGTAGTAGTCCTTCCCCCTCACTGTTTTAGTTTCAATGTCATAATAGAGAAACATTGAGTTGAAATCATGAAATAAAAGATCACCACCACCAGTACTACCAATTGGTATAAGACTTTTGCCATTGACTTCGAGTGTATTCATATTCCAGAGTTGCATGTCATAGTCTTCTAGTATCCAAATTTTGGTCACCTCATGATTTATCAAAGCCAGACGTCCTCCTCCTACTTCTACTGCAAAACAAGAATTTGATTTGGCTCCTCTGGGAAGTGGCATAATTTTGAAAAAGCCAGTATCACATGGTTAGAGAAGCCAGCCATATATCCTAGGCAATATTTAATACCATTGATTCAACAGCCTGTTTTAGAGGTGCCGGATCCAGGTGAACAGTAGCTACTTGCCGGCATGAATGGAACAGTACCAGAAGAATCATCAGTGTCACTATCAACATCAATCTCTCTCCATTCTCTCCATGTGGTGGAGGCGACGCGGCGGTTGAGAGTCAAAACCTTGAACTGAGTTTGGGCTTCCTCACCATCATCATCAACTTCGTCATCCCGTTCACATATAATTTGGCTAATGTTGATTACTTTGTGTTTTCCACTGGAAGGATCAAACCCTAGAAGGTTCAAGGATTTGACCATCAATGGATTGGGTCCTGGTCGCATCACAATAGCTGGTCTTCTTTTCTTCAGGCCTGGAACTGCTATGCGTTGTTTGGTGCTAGGGTTCCATATGCAGTTCTGAAAACAGATCAAGCCGTTGACGGAATACAAAGGAAAATACTCGTCTGTAGGGATGGGAACAGATAGAAGGTGAAGGGCTGGGCCGCCTTCTGGATCTGGGGAGTAGAGTTGCCAATTCCCAGTTATTGTCAGGAACAGAAGGTTGATGCCGTTGGGCCGAGTGATGGACCGATTATGGTGCGACTCAACGAAGAGTGGATCATCGTCAATTATGGAGCGCCATTGTCTGGAAACACACCTGAATCTTAGTCAGGTTTTCACAGGAAGTTCTTTCAGTATCATCAAGATTATCTCTCGTGGAACTGAAACTCCAAACCCTCCATTATTTACCTCCACTGGCTGTGCGATTTCCATCATAATTCTGATTCTTCACGCAACTCACACCTATACATAGGCAATAGGGTTTAAAGGGGAATATATATAGGGAAAATATTTTTAGAGGCCCTAGGCAAACTTTCAAATGTGAGGCCCTTAAGTTTTACACGCACAAATAAATAAATAAATAAATAAGAGTGCAAAATTTTAACACAATATTTTCAAATTCTATAGCTAATATAATTGTGCGCCTGTGCATTGTGCATAAGACAACTAACTAATGACTATAAATTTATCACCACCAAAAAATAATTGTGCGCCTGTATAATGTGCATAATACAACTAACTAATAAATATAAATCTATCATCACCAATGAATAATTGTGCATCTGTGTAATGTGCTTAAGACAACTAACTAATAACTATAAATTTTTATCACCACCAATAAATAATTGTGCGCCTGTGCAGTTTGCATAAGATAAACTAACTAATAACTATAAATCTATCATCACCAACAAATAATTGTGCGCAATGTGCATACGACAGCCAACTAATAACAATAAATTTATCAATTAACGATTCCAAATTTTTCACAGGCACAAAATGAAAAATGAAGAGAACATTTTACCAAAGAACAGAAAACTGCAGCTTCTTTTATATTCATTGTTTATATAGCTACTAAAATTTGACGATTACAGATGACAAAAATATGTGGAGATGAGGTGACTATATATATATATATATATATAGGAGGCTGAACTTGTAGTACTGAAGAAGTAGTGGGACTTTTAGGTTATATGTGGCATCCACTATCATATATAGTTTTGTCTTTCACTCTTTATATTAACTACACTACACTTTGTGTGTGTGTTTTTCGGGAGCCAATTACCCGCATTGATTGATTGATCATTGCTACACAAGATAAAGTCCCTTGCGGCACCTTTTCGGTCAACTGTTGCACAGTACTTTTTTAATAATTTCATCTTTACCCATCCATTCAACCGTTGTAGCCCTCTTTCATTCTTTCTTTCCTTTGTCTTCTCTCTGTCCATATATATACATACCCATACATCTCTTATATGAACAACGTATATAAACTCATATATACATATATATATATATATATACACAGACACACAATCTCATTTTATTTTTCTTATTTTATATATTTATTATTACTTATTTCCATATATGTATATAAGTATATACACGCACACACACATACATAAATTTAAGGAAAAATTACATATAAATGGAGTCAAAGTTCCATATTTACTTAGAGGCTGAGTCAAAGTTCCATATTTCTCTAAAATGGATTGCTGAGGTGACACATGGTTTTTTACTGTTTAGAAATTGTGGTGCCTAAAATACCCTTCCACGAAGGTACTACTTTTTCTTCGAAGGTACTACTTTTTTGAACTGAAGGTACTACTTTTTGGCGTCCAGGTACCATGTTTTTTAAACACCCGCGAAGGTACTACTTTTTCTCCGAAGGTACTACTTTTTTGAACTAAAGGTACTACTTTTTTGCACTGAAGTACTACTTTTTTGTTAGGGAAGGGCATTTTAGGCACCACAATTTTCTAAACAGTAAAATACCATGTGCCACCTTAGCAATCCATTTTAGAGAAATATGGAACTTTGACTCAGTCTCTAAGTAAATATGGAACTTTGACTCCATGTATATGTAATTTTCCCTAAATTTTGAACACTATTCAGGTTTTTTAAAAATTATGCAAAGCTAAGCCACAACCATGGCTACCATCGTCAAAATTAATTTTCAAAAGATACCACCTTGGAGCTAGGACAGGCTGAGTTCAAGACCTTTGCGGTGAAGTGTTCATGGACGCTGTGGTTTCGAACGCCGGGAAAGTGGTTCTCCGACGAATTCCGATCAGAATTGCTGGAATTGCAGGGGTGGGGATGGTGAGTTGTTCTGGGAAGGACTTGGTTGGGACCACGATTGGAGTCTACGCGCTTGGCATTGCAACTTCCATTTATCTCAGTTTGGTAATTTAATACTCCACTATGGCAGCTCTAACTAACATCAAATAAATAATAAATAATGTTTGCTTATACAAGGCTCATGGCTACCGACTGCAAAGTTCTGGTTGACAGAATCACACAAAGAATAGGGCATTGGACCTCTAAGGCACCTGTCATATGCTACACAACTTCAACTCATCAAATCAATCATACTAAGCATGCACATTTACAGGTCTAGCATTCTTATTTTTCCCAAAAATGTGCTGATTGAGATCAATAGTATTTGCAGGAAAATTTTCTGGACAGGAACAGAAAGCTCAGGTGCATAGCTAGCTTGGAGCAGCATATGCCAGCCAAAGCTTAATGAGGGATTGGGCTTACCAAACGTTGAAATGACAAACAAAATTGGAACACTAAGGCATCTATGGAACATCATTTTAGACAGTAAGCTCAGCCTATGGACATAAATACGGCTCATAAGAAACAGAGATTTGTGGTCTCTAAACATACCTCAATCATATTCATGCTTAGAAGAACTGTGAGGCATTTGATCAAACACATGGTGGACAATTACTCAATTGCGTGTTTCTGGTAAGACAACTGGCTAAAAGATGAACCACTACTCCTCTCCACCACAACGACTACTAGTATCGTCGCTTCTCTTCTCTTAAGTATCACAACCATTATGTTTTGTGGGTGCGTTTCTTGTTCAGATAAAAAAAGAAAAAGAAAAAGTCGAGTAAAATTTTATGAATACTCATATCAAGAGAGTCCCTTTCATGAAAAGAGTCTTGAGCCCTCCATTTTTAATCACTAAATTGAAAGATATATTAAATGATTCAGACTTTTCACAAATTTTATAAACCTATCTCAATCCAAAAATTAAAAATAAAGAGGTTGTGGATCTTGTCACCAAGGACTCTTTTGATAGCATTACTGGAACTTTATTATGAAGTTCAGATTTTTACACACCAGTTCAAAGTTGGGTGAAATATGAGCTAATTCAATTGCTTCGGTTGACTGGTAAAAATTTCACTGATGGCTCTTGGAAATGATCGACCAACGAGTTTGTCAAGCATGTGTGTCTATTTTCAGCTTATACTGCACCAATCGGAGTAATTGTTCCGCCATAAAAATGTAAAGTTTCTTCTTGTCATAGTCTTCTGGTATCCATATTTTGGTGACCTCAGAATTTATCAAAGCCGGACATTCTCTTACTTCTATTGCAAAACAAGAATCTGATATGGCGTCTTGGGGAAGTGGGATGACTTTGAAACTCTCAGGTCCAACTTCGAAAGCCAATATCAACATGGTTTGAGGTTTGTGTTTTTTTTTTTTTTTTTTTTGAAAAGTGAAATAAATATTATAAATAGAGAAATGGATTACAAGCCAAGGCCAAAAAGCGCAATTAGCCCAGGCTAACTTCAAGAAAAAGGCGCAAAGCCCAACCCAACAATTACATTTTCCTTGCCCTCATCGGTAAACATGGCTTTGAGCCCCAACCTCATCTCCTTGAGGTTGGCCTTGATTGATCAGGAGGTTTAGCTGGTGGACGAACACAAGATTCAGGAACCTCCCTTTCAATTGCTGTTCTTCTACAATTGCAAGCATCCTTGACAGTTGAAACCAAAATCTAATTCTCTCGGACAGATTGGTTTGAGTTGCCAATCGTACCTAGACAATACACAGTATCATTGATAAAACAAACTGATTTTTGTGAATTTTATCAGAATACGTACAAATAGTATTGTTGCAGGGGGAGCAATAATTAAAATAGGTACCGAATCGCCTTTTTTAAGTTGAGAAAAATAAAATTTACATAGTTCCTTTATTTTTTTTTTTTGAGCCATACAAAAGTCCACATAATGATGTTATATCTAGGCATTGATATATACATCTATACAAAAATCCACATGTTCTATAATGGATGGGATCAATTTTGAATTGCCTTCTAGAGCAATTAATAGAGATCTAAAAGCCAAAATGAATCACTTATATTAAAGACTTGTACCAACAAAAATAAATAAATCCATCAGGAAAATTGATGTTGCAAATAAATTTCTTGGATGTTCCAAAACTTCAAAAAAAGAATTACTATAAAACCAAAATAAAAACCTATTATGGATAAAAGGTGTTGCAGTGATCAATCAAAATAAGGTTTCCACATGCTTGATGAAGACGGACCCTGATGCCATATTTCCTTGTAATTTTAGGTCGGAGTAGTCCTTCCTCCTCATTCTTTTACTTTCAATATCATAATAGAAAAACATTGATTTGAAATCATGAAATAAAAGATCACCACCACCAGTACTACCAATTGGTATTGGACTTCTTTTTCTTTTGCCATTGACTTCGAGTGTATGCATGTTCCAGAGTTGCTTGTCATAGTCTTCTAGTATCCAAATTTTGGTCACCTCATGATTTATCAAAGCCAGACGTCCTCCTCCTACTTCGACTGTAAAAAAAGAAATTGATTTGGCTCCTTTGGGAAGTGGCATAATTTTGAAACTCTCAGGTCCAACTTCGAAAGCCAGTATCACATGCTGTTTTAGGGGGAACGTATATCCTAGGCAATATATAATACCATTGATACAACAGGCTGTTTTAGGGGGGCCGGATCCAGGTGAATAGTAGCTATTTGCCGCCATGAATGCAACAGTAGAATCATCAGTATCACTATCAACATTAATATCTCTCCATTCTCTCCATGTGGTGGAGGCGCCGCCGCGACTGAGAGTCAAAACCTTGAACTGAGTTTGGGCCTCCTCATCACCTTCGTCTTGAGATGTAATTTGGTTAATGTTGAGTACTTTGTGTTTTCCACTGGAAGGATCAAACCCTAGAAGGTACAAGGATTTTACCATCAATAGATTTTCTCCTCGCATCTCAATAGTTGGACTCCTTATCCTAGCGCCTGGAACTGCTATGCGTTGTTTGGTGCTAGGGTTCCATATGCAGTTCCCAAAACAGATCAAGCCGTTGACGGAATACAAAGGAAATTCCCCGTCTAGATTGATGGGAACAGATAGAAGGTGAAGGGCTGGGCCGCCTTTTGGATCTGGGGAGTAGAGTTGCCAATTCCAATCTCTTTTTGTCAGGAACAGAAGGTTGATGCCGTCGGGCCGAGTGATGGACCGATTATGGTGCGACTCAACGAAGAGTGGATCGTCGTCAATTATGGAGCGCCACTGCCTGGAAACACACCTGAGTCTCAGTAAGGTTTTCACAGGAAGTTCTTTCAGTATCTCCCAGATTATCTCTCGTGGAACTGAAACCCCAAACACCCCTTTATTTACCTTTCTCTTCTTCATGCGTGGCTGTGCGTTTTCCATCATAATTCTGATTCTTCAAGCAACTCACACCTATATATAGGCAGTAGGGTTAAGGGAAATATATATAGGCAATGGGGTTTAAACGGAACCAACTCAAGTAGGGTTTATCTATTCCTTGTTCTAGATTCCATAGGAATTCACCTTCCTTTTTGAGTGGTTTCTCTGCTTTGTTAGGCCTTGATTGGGTATGCTTAGGATGTTTTGTTTTTGGTTTCATTTTTAATAAATCGATTAATTATAAAGTAATAACAAAAAAACTCAAGTAATAAATCGATTAATTATAAAATAATAATAAAAAACTCAAGCTATAACTCGCCTCCCAAATCTTTTCCAAAACACCGATTAATGGCTCCAAAAATAGTGAGTTGGAATCGAATTTTTTTATTTTATTTATTTTTTCGTTTGTTCGAATGGTTAAACAATATATATATATAAGACGATATTTATAGGGGTCTTAATGAGTGGAGTGGGCTAAAATGCCTAACATGAACAAAAGATTGGCTGAAAGCCCAATTTTTATTTCAAGAACCAATACATATGGCATTAGATCCGAAAGCCCCAACTCTTCTGAAGAGCCAATCCGGTGTTGTTGATGGAACGTCCTCATTCCTGTAAATGGATGAATTTGCTCTGAGACTGGTTAGCCGGCGGACGCGGTGAAGGCCCTGATGCAAGATGGCTGTAGATCCTAAGCACGACGGGCACGCTGAGCGGCTAGACCATTTTTGAAGGAGGAAGATAGCAATCATTCTCTGATGGCCTTGCGAATCTCAAATTGAAGCATGTGTTGAGTTTTGAGAGAGCCCCTAAAGATCAGACAATTTATTTTCCATCCAGATATGGTAGACGGCAGCTGAGATGGCCAATTTGCTTATAGAGTTCGAAATGGAACTTGATTGCCAATGGTGAGCTGCCCAGATAAATGGGGCATTCGATGAAGAAGGGTTGATGTGAAATCCACAAATACTCTGTGTGTAGTTCCAAATTGGGAAAATGAATTCACACGAGAAGAACAAGTGGTTCAGAGTCTCGTTTGAGGAACAATATAAGGTACAATGATACGGGAAATGACTCTTTAACAATGCGCTTCTGTGAAAGGTAAAGAGCCTATTTTTTATTTGCTAAGGCCATCTGCACCGGCCTCTTCGAATTTTGCCTCTTTAAAAACGCCACATCAACTTTTTTAAGAGCCACATTAGCAGTTTTAAGTTCAAAAACATTCACTTCATCAAACTCTCCGAATTTTCGCTCTTAAAAAAAATAATAATAAAAAATTAAAATTAAAATTTTTTTTTTAAACTTTTCCTAAAAGGCAATATTTTCTCAACGGCAATATTTTTCAATCAAACAATATTTTTGTAAATTATTAAAAAAACTACGATTGATATTAAAACTTAAAACAATACATTATCCATTATGGATTAAAAAAAAAAAAAAAAACAAAATAATTAAAAATAACTTAAATAATACAATATCCTAAATTGAAATAAGAAAATAAATAGACCAAGGATTACAAAATCCTATGGGAACTTTGGGGCGGACTGTGAATTCAAGCTTTTCCAAGCTTTTCCAATATCTCATTTTGTCGTGCAATAATCCAAGCTTTTTCTGCTTCTGTTGGTGCCGAATTTGGATTTGTTAACTTAAGCTCCTTCTCTTCAAGTCCCTGTTTCTCTTTAATCTCTAGCTGCCTTGTCTTCTCTTTTTCCATTTTTCTTACCTCTCGTGCCACTTAGGCATCTTGCATTTTTTCCTGAAGACTCTCAAAACGGGTGGTGATATTATTAAATTTCGAAACGAATGAAATTTGCAATTCATTCGCTGAATTAATTTTTGCTCGACGCTGCTTCGCCGCTTTTCTTCTTGCTGGTCTTTGTAGTTGATATTCTTCCACACAGGGTGAATCATTTTCCCCTACGTGTGGTGATTCTTCAGTTGAAGCTCCATCTGTCGTGGCTTCATGACTTGACGGAGTAGATGGTAATGAGTGCCCAACAGACTCATTAATGTCAAAGTCAAATCCACTCCTCTTCTTCGTCTCTTTTTTCTTTTTTCCTTTTCCTACTTGTTCGGCACAATGTTAATTCCATTTATTGTTATGCTTCAAGATCTCCCATTAACTTTCTAACTTAAATTCACCACCTGTTTGGCTACAAAACAGGTCTTTAGCTGCTATCATCTACACAAAAAAAATAACAAAAAATTAAAAGCTGACTATTTAAAATATTTACGAGTTATATTTAAACAATAAATAACTCACCATATCATCACTGCTGAAGCCGCTGGGACGATTCATTTCTATGGTAGTCATGCAGCTGGAAAATTTGCTGATTTTTTGTTGTATCACTGACCAACGATTCATCAAACCTTCATCATTTCGCTCAGTTGGAACACCAATATGTTGTTTATATTGTTCCAGAATTCGCTCCCATAACTTCTGCTTACTTTGGTCTGCCTCCGTAATCGCATCAGAGGTAATGGACAACCACGCCCAGCATAAAGCTTCATCTTCAGCCTTGGTCCAATTATTATGTCGAGTAGCTGGTTGTTTTGACGGGGGTTTTGAGTTACTTGATTGTGGAACACTAGTACCACAATATTGATGAGAAGTTTGGGATGGTTGATAAGAAGGTTGGGATGGTTGACGAGAAGGAAATTGAGAATCTCCTTCATAATAATTGATATTCTCTTCAGGAAATGGCAAAAACTCATCGTTTGATGGATTGAATTAGGTGTTGTAATGATATGGATGTCGAGGATCCATGGAATCGAAATGACTTTGAAAATAATAGCTAAGATTGAGAAAATAGAAGAAGAAATAAGTTGAATGGTAGATAATAGAGATGTGATGAGTGATGGTAGGAATTGGGGTATTTCTAGAGATTTTAAAAATTTTAATTTATTTATTTTTTTTGAATAAAGTTAAAAAATTTGAATTTTTAAACTTTTTTTTAAAATTATAGCCGTTAAGGCACTATTTGGTACTGTAGAAACAGTGCCTTAACGGCCACATACACTATTTGGCCTACACGTTTAAAATTTAAAGCAAAAAAATTAATAAAAAATCAAATTTTAAGGGAAAAAACAAAAAAAAAAGGGTAAAATTTGAATTTTTAAACTTTTTTTTTTTAAATTATAGCCGTTAAGGCACTATTTGGTACTGTAGAAATAGTGCCTTAATGGCCAAATACACTATTTGGCCTTACATTTAAAATTTAAAGCAAAAAAATTTTCAAAAAAAAAAAAAAAACAAATTTTAAGGGAAAAAACAAAAAAAAAAAAAAAAATAGGTTTTTTAATTTATTTTTGGGCCAAATTTTTTTTTTTTTTGGACAAACAATGCCTAAATAATATATATTTTTATTTAATGAATTTTGTTTTAATTTTTTTTTTTCCTAAAAAAAGCTCAAAAGAACCTATTTTTAGCTTTTTTTTTTTTTTTTTTTTTTATTTAAAATAATTATGTGTTCCACCATTATGCAGATGAGACAAAATAGGCAGCCAATACGACGCCGTTTTTAAAGCCGAAAAAACAAAAAAAAAAATGGGCAGCGATCGCGAGCCGGCTCGCTTAATATCGCGAGTCGGCCCCCGATCGCTACTGGCCCATTCACTTTAGCTAGCCCGCTGGAGAAGGAATAGTCCATTTGGCTCGCTGGAAATGGGCTTAAGCTAGCCCGCTGGAGATGGCCTAACCATAGTACGAACTTATGGCGAGGACTTGATATTGAAATCCAAACAAGATGACTCCAGGAAGAAACGGAACCAGCCTAAAGAAAATTCAAAAATTCATGCATATATTGTTGATCTCTGTGGACACTAATTTGGGCAGTAGAAAGATGTTTGACCAGTTTTTTTTTTTTTTTAAAAGATAAGCTTGTATATAAGGTTGAAGGATTTATAGTGAGCCCCAGACGGGGAAGACCAATATCAAAGAAATTACAACCAAAACAAAATTTGTAATTGCTACAAACAAAATATTCAAAAGCTAAACCATCCATTCAAAGGCAATATATCAAATAACTTTAACTAATTTATATATATTTTCATATTCAGTCACTTCTGATTGGAAGAAACAAAATATTTTTTTTTTTAAGATTTAAGAGTTGTATGTAGCAGTAGTTTTACACCTTGAGGAACTAAATATTTGGAATTATTTACTCGTACGTCATTTAGTTATAAACCATGTTTTTTTTATTAATTCCTTTATTTTAGATTCAGCAGAAGAAATGTCACGAATTACAATTGCAAGCATCCTTGACAGTTGAAACCAAAATCTAATTCTCTCGGACAGATTGGTTTGAGTTGCCAATCGTACCTAGACAATACACAGTATCATTGATAAAACAAACTGATTTTTGTGAATTTTATCAGAATACGTACAAATAGTATTGTTGCAGGGGGAGCAATAATTAAAATAGGTACCGAATCGCCTTTTTTAAGTTGAGAAAAATAAAATTTACATAGTTCCTTTATTTTTTTTTTTTGAGCCATACAAAAGTCCACATAATGATGTTATATCTAGGCATTGATATATACATCTATACAAAAATCCACATGTTCTATAATGGATGGGATCAATTTTGAATTGCCTTCTAGAGCAATTAATAGAGATCTAAAAGCCAAAATGAATCACTTATATTAAAGACTTGTACCAACAAAAATAAATAAATCCATCAGGAAAATTGATGTTGCAAATAAATTTCTTGGATGTTCCAAAACTTCAAAAAAAGAATTACTATAAAACCAAAATAAAAACCTATTATGGATAAAAGGTGTTGCAGTGATCAATCAAAATAAGGTTTCCACATGCTTGATGAAGACGGACCCTGATGCCATATTTCCTTGTAATTTTAGGTCGGAGTAGTCCTTCCTCCTCATTCTTTTACTTTCAATATCATAATAGAAAAACATTGATTTGAAATCATGAAATAAAAGATCACCACCACCAGTACTACCAATTGGTATTGGACTTCTTTTTCTTTTGCCATTGACTTCGA